CACATGGCACAGGGCAAAGAGGATGTTTAGTTTCACCGTCATTTGTCACCGGTGTAATGCAGAAAAATGGACCGGTTGCAGGACAAGAGCTTAAATATATTTCAAAGCTTGTGATGACTTGAGTTTGACATAGTGAGTTGATTAAATGTGTGCCAGAGGGAAGGTGATGATTACTTGGTTGACTTGTCTTTGTGTAAAGAAAGGATTAGCACTCACAGATATGTTGTGACACACCACACATATCTGAAGGTTCATGGTGTGCAGATCACTGGGTCAGGAACACATCAAAATAAATGATTTGAACTCCTGACGGCACAGTTAGAGAAAAGTGAAACGTTTATACAACAAAACACCTGGGGCCGACACAGTTTGTTTCGTTTCCGCTGGTTATCCACACTTTACAGGCTCATAAAAGGGCATTCATGGATGTCGCAGGATTCCCTGGTGTTGTGGGTGTAATTGATGGGACACACATCCATATAATGGCACCGTCAGAAGATGAAGCCGTCTTCGTGAACAGGAAGAGATTTCACAGTATCAACGTTCAACTTGTTTTCAATGCGGACTATAAGATTTTGGACATTGTTGCTAAATGGCCAGGCTCAACACATGATGCCAGAATGCTCTCTGAGAGTGGTCTCAGACAGCTTTTCGAGGGACATTATGTGCCAGCCAATTGCTACTTGTTAGGGGACAGTGGCTACTCATGCAAACCATGGCTCCTAACACCTTACCTCCATCCAGACCAAGGGCCGCAACTCAACTACAACAGGTAACACAAACAATATAGAATTATGCATGGAAATAAAATGTAAAGAGCATGTTGGAGTATCCTAGTAGTTTAAATATTTCCCTCAAATAATGTACATTGTCATGTATTAAATTATTCACATTATTTCCAGTTGTTTTGAATGAAATTTTGATTATGTCTGTATTAACTTGTAGGGCCCATAGGACAACAAGGGCAGTAGTGGAGCATGGCATTGGCCAACTGAAGAGGCGCTTTCATGTTCTCCACGGAGAGGTGCGGCTGACCCCTGATAAAGTCTGCAAAGTCATCATAGCCTGTGTGATACTACACAACATTTGCAAGGCTAGACAGATTGCAGAACCTCTTGAGGGTGATGAAGACAGCGATAATGATGGTGGTGGTGATGAAAACATTCACACTCCACAGGGGAACTTGGCCCACAGTGGACTGCCTTACAGAGCCCAATTTACAAATTTACATTTCAGGCAAGTTATAGTATATGTAATTTAAGAACCTGTGACTGCAGTGAACTAATATACCAACTAATATTTACTACACATAGCCTACAATAGTTACTTGACACATATTACACACAAAGGCACATGAATACATAATATCTATTTGTCATGGGATTTATTTTTTAGGAGATCAATTTTTAGTCGGTAGTACTCCTCCTGTAGGCATAGAACTCTTTTCTGCTGTCTGAGGACATCCATTGTCATCTCCAATCTTCTGTCCTGCAGGGATGGTGTTGGAGCAGCAGGCAGGAATGGTGTTTGAGCAGCGGCAGCAGCAGCAGCAGCAGCAGCGGGCAGGCTGAACTGTGATGTTTCAGGCTGAGGGTCGTACACCTGGCCCCGGTTCCTCTGATGGCTCCATGCTACAGAAAGGGGAATACATTTAGTTTCTTTAATTATTGTTTTGTTTTCATTGATTTCGCAGAATGAGCATGTACAAGAGATATGAGAAATGGCTTATGTACTGAATAAATATTCCTAATATTTTGTTTACCTGCCTATTGATATATGAAAACACACTTCTACCTTTGTTGCATTTCATTGAGCTGCATCATTGAAGAGTCAATGCCTTCCCTCAGCCCGGTGATACTAACTTCTGACTGTCCCAGGACATTAAACACTGTTTCTGCAACCTGGGACAGCTGCTTAGCAGGTGGCCCACCCCCTAAAAAACAATCCAGTAACCAATATGTACACATTAATTATGTATTTAAATTTGCCAGCAGCTGTAAGTAAGTGGTATATCACTCAGCTTTGCGTGAAGATTCACGTTTGTGTGCTGCAATCTCCTCTCTTGCTTTCGACTGCAACACATACCACCTCTTCTCACACTCCTCACTTGTGCGCATAACCAGTGGAAAGGAGGCATTCATCTGTTGTGCTATATGATCCCATGCCTGCTTCTTGGCTTGTAGTGTGACACTGGGGCCAAATCTACCTCTCAAAACACTTTTATTCTCATTGACCAATTGAGCCAGAAGCAAACACTGTTCCTCTGTCCAGTTGGTTACTTCTTTTCTTCTCCATTGCTGTTTGCAGTTTGTGGAAGATTTGAATGCCAGCCAACACTGCTTCTTATAGGCCGGTTAGCAATCCCAGAAACTGATGAAAGCTGAGCCATTTTACTCTCGTTAATACCAAATGGATAAAGTGCAAAAATTACCAGCATGGTAAATGAATGTAAGCAAATAAATATAACTATCAGCATGTGAATACTGTGCAAGTGGGCCTGAGTTTTCACACATTTTGTAGGGTAATTTTAAAGTATAGCTTATTATTTATTTAACAGAGATTTTCTCTTTATGTAAAATATTATTTATAATTACACAGTCTTCATAGAGATTAGATTCTATGATTAAGTCTATTGATTTGACGGTCCATTCTATGCCCATTATCACCAAACGTGTATTTTTATCTAGCTTTTAGGATCAACCAATCACAACTTTTGAAATGATGACTCATACCTAGCAATGGGGTCAAGAGTCAGAGTTCTCTGAGAATGTTCTGGAATCACTCCTAAGCTAAGACTCCTTGCTAGGAATTTTCAGGCTAAGTTAGGAGCTCTCTGAGAGGATTCTCAGAATCTTTAGGAATACGGGCCCTGAGAAATAGGGTCCTGGATGGGAGAATTAATTCGAATTTCACTGAAATGTATTTACCATCAACGACCTGAGAGGGCTGTGTCCCCTGCATCACCTCTGAAATCCATACCTATGGTCAGTGCTACATCAATGCTGGCATAGACAGGCAAAGCAGTTTAGGAAAAACTGAAAAAGTGATCACAATAATCTATATTTAACACAGCTAAAATGTTTCACCATTACTTTTTTTTTATCAAGTATATGTATTCATCAGAGTGTGCTGTTTCACCTCTGTTGTTTGTGACATCCACAGTCAGGATATCAAGTTGCATTCAGGGTCTGAGGTGTCTTGTTTGGTTACGCTCGACAGCTTCACTGTTCTTTCTCGATAACGTTGTCACCTTACCTTTGTTAGAGCATCATGTGTGAACTACACTGTACAGTTTGCAGGCAGCTGCAGGCAAACTTAGTTTTTATCAATATGGATATTTTGTCGCATAAATTGCTTCATTTCATCCTAAGAAATTTCTTCTATTTAATTTTTGTGTGATTTTGTTTTAAATATATATAATTCTGTTTTAAATGTTTTAACAATCCTTAATCTATGATGTAGTAATTTGTTTTGGATTAGGATTAATATGGCAAACAGTGACAAAATTCACATTGCAGTATCTGCAGTTTGTTTATGACCTGTGAAATCATTTGTTTCACATTACACTAATTAGGTTTTGACAAATAAAAAGTTGAATTTAAGAAATTACATTATGACTAGTAAGACTGAAGTTACATTTGACATTAATTGATATAAACTGTATTGGACTTAATGTAAAGACAAAACTTACTATTATGCTACAGTGGGTGCAAAAGTATAAAAAGAAGGAATGGAAGACAAACTGAAATAACTTGTAAAATAACCTGGTTCATAATATCTTTGGATGATGATGAGAAATTGGTTAACACTGAAGTCAGTGTGACACCAGGTGGTGGAAAAAGCCTATTACAGCACGAGCATGTTCCAAAGACTGGTGTTTCATTTAATCTGTAAGGCTCATTTGATGGTTTTAGGGTGGATTTTATGGAGCATTTTATATAAATTGCCCATAATTGACCATGTAAATCGTTAACAAAAGGCAGACAGATCCCCAGAGTTGCAGCGCCTCTGTTGATTCTTCCATGCATGAAATATTACCATTGAAAAACAGTACGCTTTGAAATATGGCTGCTTTGTTGTTTCAGAAAAAAAAAAATACATATAAATAAAAATAAATATAAATATAAATATACATATATATTTATATAATTATAGTTTTGCTTTTTGGAAAAGGAAATCTTGGTATTTCAAATAAAGTCAAGTAAATGCTTTTGTTATTTATTATCAATACGTAATAGACTTAACTCTAATAGAACCTTGCATCTATTTTTCCTTTTAGTGATGTGATGTATCATCATTAAACTTCAAATAACTGAGGCTTGAGCAAACTAATTTTTGATTAATTATATTCTCAATTAATAAACATGCACTTTGGTGTGCAAGATGTCAGAAAATTGGAAAAATTATATATATTTATACATTTATATTTTGCTTTTGGGAAAAAGGCATATTAAATTTTAGATACAAATGCATTTGTATGCATAAACTGGCTTAACTCAACGCAACTGACTAAACTCTGATAGAACCTTGTACCTATTTTTCCTTTTAGTGGTGTCATTAAACTTTAAATAATTAGGGTTGCAACTAACTTATTTATTTTTTTAAATGATTATTTTCTCAATTAATAAACATGCATTTTGGTCTTTAAAATGTCAGAAAATAGGGAAAATTAAGTAAGACAAATGCCTGATATTGTCAGGCAACCAATAAATATTTGCCAGTTTATAATAATAATAATAATAATAATAATAATGACTATTATTATTATTATTAATGTATTATTATTAATCTGTGGGTTGGCCAATTATTTTTTGTCTCTACTTGAATTCTCTGTCTACAAAATTTGAATGATATATGGCTGATTGAGGATCAATAACATTTAACAACAGGTTCAGGCAGTATCATGTATCTCACCCGGCTGAAAGGGTTACACCGGCAGGTGGGGGAACCAGGAAGTGCGGGCTGAGGTGATTCATGTGGGCGGTGTGCAGTCTCAGATGAAGGTGAGCTGATCGATGGCCGCTCTGAACCCGTCCGGTGTCATACCTGCGTTTATACACCAGTTTCTAAGGTCTGTGCTGTACCGGGACTTTTACTGCAGAGGAGAAGAGAAAAGGCAGCGGAGACAGGGAAGAGCTTTTAAAGTAAGGACGCGCATTAGTAACAGGTAAGTTATGGTAACGTGTGAGGAACGACGTGTGCTCAACCTTGCATTGTCACTTGGGTACCTGTAGTTACTCCATGATTCTGTCAGATAGGAAGAAACTTAACGGGAAAGTGTTAACTTTATTTATTCCAGCAGAGGATTAAATCATCTCAGTTTAACAGCAGATTCTTCTCAGGCACACCTCTCCGTTATTGTCTCGGGGCCGTAGCGGGTTTGTTCAAATAGTTTATCTGATTTAATAAGGTGGATTCGCCCTGGACAAATAACGCGTCTTTCCTGACAGACATTAGACATTAATGGGATAATATAAGAGATGTGACCCGCTGATGGATAACAACAGGTAGAAACAATCACAGGACACATTAAGCTGCCAGGGCGCTGATGTTTCAAGTCAAATAAATGAAACAGTAGTAAACTGATAACCACACTAAGTTATAATCAAGTAGGCCTACTGTAGGTTACTTCATTTATTCTACTACTACTCCACTACATTTTTATTTTAGGAAATAATATAAGCTACTCTGTAGCTAGTTCACCATAGTATTTGACACTTAGGGGAGAGCGGGGTCGGTTGGGACATTTTTGTATCAACATGAAATAACCTTCTATCACTCACAGACTACTTGAAAAGCAACGGAAATAATTTGATCTTTGAACCAATAGAGGCGCCTGCTAAGAGTTTATCAAGTTTTTTTAGAGCCTAACCTAACGTGAAAGGCACAAATTTGTAAAATATACATACAAGGGGAGCATTTTTTGGTCCATCGCTGGAGCTTCTGCCTGCTCTCCTCCTGGTGAATAGTGTTCCAGCAACGAGGAGTGATGGGGGGTGATCTTGATATTGCATCTGATCAATGACGGGCAAAACATTTATTTCAACCAGGCAGCTCAGCATTGATTCCAATTTTCCTCAGTGGCCACTTGCGGTATTGCAATAAAATATCCCCTACAGACCAAAAAGCATTTTCCCCATAGCCCACCATTGTAAGAGACGTCTGTAAAACTGTTAACAGGATACCTCGAACTTCAAACAAGGCCACTTATGACTCTTTCTGTTATGATTTTTTGAGCAATGGAAGTTTAATATTCATAAAACTTTCCTGTGCTGAGAAAAATTATTTTAAAATCTATGATGTCATTGCATTGTGAGCCAAGCGGGAACTCACAGGCGGGGACGGAAACACTACTGTGCATATTCAATAAGTCGCATATCGTGGAAGTAAAGTTGGAAGCTAGAAAATCATACTGCCACGACTGGTGCCGTCCGGCCAAGCAGAAACATGTCATAACACTGGGAAAAGTTCTGACTGCGGGGTTATAAAGTGGCACTGCCTTGCCGCGTATCATACTGCCACAAAAGGTGGCTTTTGGTGTCAGTGTCTGAGGCTGAAATCACTCACAAAGCGGCAGTATTTGACGACTTTGAAACGAGAATGGGCTGTTTTTACAGTGGCACCTATGAGCTCAATTTGGTTACCATAGGCTTAAGGTAGCCTAAAGGTTTATGTAGGCTACTGAGTTTGTTTCATCAGGCAAAATCAAAATCTGCCCACAGGGTTAAAATATAGGCCTACATGAAGGTAGTGCAGTAAACTGTGGCTCTTGTTTAATTGAAAAAGCCTTTGTCTCCTTTTTGTTGATTTGTAACTAGGTTCACACTCTCCGTGTCTATATATATGACGTGCAACGTACCCTGGGTGTGTTGGTTGTTGACTTTCTGGGACGCCATGCCAACTTCAGCCTGTTACATGCATTGCCTGTTTTGAAAATACACTTCCTGTTTCACAGGAAATGTACAGTTTGCATACAGTCTTTTTCAAAATAGATGTATTACGTCGGTACAACAGACAGATTGATGTTTATTTTCCTTCAACAACAAATGCACATGGTTAGGTTTTGCTAACACACATGTGGTTAGGTTTTAAAGAAAGCAACAAGGTTTGGCTTCACATTCATACAAGAGGCGAACACCGGCCTCCGTGTTGAAAGTCGGTGACTGTGGGACCCATCCACCACTCCGACCATCCACCCTACTTGGGTTTTTCGCACCTTTAACTTATGTTGTGGTCCGGCCCCCTTTTCCCCCAGATGACATCAGGCATTGTCACACACTGACAGCAACCAGCTGCATATCATGCTGACGTTAAAGGACGTTTTTTCGTCAACATATAGTATGGAAGTCACTGCCCATTTGGACTGCTTGAACTGTAATAAATAATATGTTTACATGTTCCATCCATTCAGACGCTGCATGCCGTGTTGAAACAGTTTGCATGTTATTATCATACTGTGTGTGATCTGTCAGTGTCCTTGACACCTGACACCTGTCCACCTGCCTACCTGTTCTCAGGTCCATGTCATTGGTCTGACAGCCCATTGGTCCGACATCCCATTAGTCCGACGGTCTGCAGTGCTGAACGGCTCCCGGCGGACGTATTTCTAACTTGATGGTGCGCCGTGACCGGCTCTGGGTCAGCTGAGAAAGGCTTGAGGCGAAGCAGGCTCACAGCTTATGTGTTTGTCACTTTCTTTTTCATTTTAACCCACACCATGATCTTTTTCTGACCCTAACCAAGTGGTTTTTGTGCCTAAACCTAACCAGACCTTAACCACAGGGCATCATGATGATTTCGGAACGGACTTCAGAACAGTGGGTTTAATATGGTCGGAACAATGGGATGTTGGACCAATGGGCAGTTCCCCCTGTTCTCACCCCCGGCTTTCTGAAGCTTGGTGCACGGGCGTTTCCTGCAAAGGTGACAGGGTGGCACAGAGGTCTCTGGGAGCTCCCGGTAATAACCTTTTATTTTACGGATCATACACCTGAGTTCACGAACATGTCTGATATTATTAGATAAATGTGACAGCAGATGCTGTATTCACACATCAGTGACGATGGTGCTTTGCTGTGCTGGGGACATGTCTTTTCTTTTCCCCTGATAATGCTACGTAGTTATAAAATGATTGTGAATTTGGCTTGATAAAGTTTTGTTCCTGCTACCGTGCAGCCATAGTGGAAACTATAAAACAATACTTCCCTAACTGCTCCTGGGTAACTGTTTCAATCGTTCCAGGGAGAGCAGACACACTTTCGACTCCTGACAGCTAACACTAGCACGAACAGATAGACTGGAAAATTAGCTTTCCAACAATATGTTTTTTGGCATAACTAAAACTGAATGGTAGAAGGAAAATTACAAAAGAGAAAAAATGTACTGACAGACTGTAGATTTTAAAACTGTGAATAAAATGTGAGGACTAGTCAGCAGGTCTTTAAAGTTAAAGTGAAGAGGGTGTGGAGCATGGTGAATGGTGTCTGCATGGTACTAGTTGTACTTTTACTAAAGTAGCATAATGAATTCAGGACTTTAACTTCTAATGGGCAATTCTGGCACATTGAGTTTGTACTTTACCAAAGTTAAGTATCAAAATACAAACTTCTCCACCACTGCTGATAACATAAATACCATGGCTGCTGAGTTATTAACTTTATGAGCAGTGCTTGTTTAAGATATGGCTTGAAACCACTTTTGCTGACATTGGCGTTACTTCCTCATTAAACCCTAACCCTAACCCTTCTTTTGCTCTGCGGGGCAGGGCAGCTTTATTTGTGTGGCATGTTTTATACACCAGGGCTGTTCAAAGGAGTAAAATATAAAACAACATAGGATACAGATTTACAATAAAAGAGTATAGAGAGAAAATTTAATAAGTAAAATTAATTACTCAATTATTAACAATGCAAAACAGCATTAAAACAACAAAAGTGTAGACAAGGGGTGCTAAAATAAAAAAAATATTTGAAGTGGTTTAAAAATAAGTTTGCAGTCAAAATGTCTATTTTTGATTTTTTTTTTCCTTATTTAAACCAGTACCTAAAGGATGAAGCAAAGTGTTAAAGTGATAACCCTTCCATTTGCCACAAACAAAGCCTTCATATTTGATGGAGATGACAACATACGAAAGTGAAGCCATTGTTAAACTATGTAAAGAAATATTTTTTATTTTTGTTTGCAAAAAGTCATTTACAATCACAGACAAATAAAGTCACCAGTCCAACAAATGTTTTTTTATCATTAAATGAAGAAAGGTCATGAAGAATCCAAGCTAATAAAACAATGCTAATAATGTTATCTTCTGAACTGTTACAGTGCGGGTTCTCCAACTAGAATATAAGATAAAACCTTTAAGGGTGGGGTTTTAAAATATACATAACAGAGGGTGAATCAATGTGGTGGTCATTTACTGTAAGAAGACTAGGGATGCATGATATTGGATTTTTTGCCGATATGCCGATATGCAACAACTCATTGACTGATAACCTATACCGATGTTGATATATCCACTTTTTCCCGCCTAATTTTAGTGATCATTAAGTGTTTCTGATAGATTTTTTTTTAAGCCAGAATTGACTGATACTGATGACGTATTGATGCTATCAACGTGTTGGCCGATTCTGATATTATCATTAGGCATGTCCCGATCAGATCATGTGATCGGAAATCGGGGCCGATCACGTGGTTTCAGACTTGATCGGAATCGGAAGTTACATCCCAATCAGGGATCGGATATAGGCCTATGACTTATCAGATACATGTCAGGGTTTTCCCTATTTGTCTAAAGCAAGACGGGCCGCATGGGGGGCGTTCAGATGTAGCTCTTTTGCACTCTCAAACCCATTACTTTTACTGTAGACGTGCGTCATGTGCGCTCATAACCCAAAGCGACGCCAGCGGCACGCCTTCGGTGCAATGCGCTTGTTTTTCGTGCACGTCCGTGTGTGTGTGGCTGCGTCATCGCGGACATGTAACGATATGAAATGACGGCGCTTGCGAGAGTGTGAGAGACGATCGTCCGTGTCATCGTGTCAGCTGACTGTTTAGTACGTGTGTGTGGCTGAATTGTTTCACTGCTGACTTCCAAGCAGCTGTTGTTGTTGATGTTTGAGCGCTACAGACCCCAGCAGCAACAACAGTCACTGCAGCTTTTACTGAGAGCGAGTCAGACATAACGCATGTGAGACAGACACACGGACAGACTGCGCAGATGTCGCGGACATCGTTAAACTTCTCACACTGTTGTGTGACGGCAGATACAGAACCAGGTATTTATTTAAAGTTAGAGAGGGAGAAGGAGTGAGGTGAGCTGGGTGAGGGAGGGAGGGAGGGAATGAGGGAGGGAGGAGCGAGGTGGGGGCAGACAGGCAGGTGAGGGAGGGATAAAGGGAAAGAGGCTGGTGATTGAGAAAGGCATGATAAGCTATTTTATTTTTGACCAAATGTTCTTGTTGTTGACTAATGGATAATTGAATTAATATTATGATACAGTTAATCTACAGTAAAAAATTTTACTGCATTGCCAAAGTATCGGATCGGGACTCGGTATCGGCAGACACTCAAAATCAAATGACTCGGACTCGGACTCGGGGGCAAAAAAATGTGATCGGGACATCCCTAATTATCATGCATCCCTAAAGAAGAGTTCAGAAGTACTGGTAGTGTATGCCATTGCATTCTTAGTCCGCTTCATTCAGACATTGTTAGTCCTCCACTGATGTATCGCCAGTGTTGTGCTAGTTACTGAAAAATAGTAACTAGTTACCCTTAGTAGTTGCTTCATTAAAAAGTAACTCAGTTAGTAACTCAGTTACTTTAATCAAAAAGCAATGCATTACTGAGAAAAGTAACTTTCTAGTTACCCCCCCCCCCCCGCTAGAGGGCGCTAGGTGCCACAAAGAAGACAACATTGCTAAGAAGGAACATGTTTTGGGAAACTCAGCCCTGCAGCCCAAAACCTTCCCTAACTGTATTGGGTCGTAGCTACATCGCCTAAGAGACAGGGGATGGAGTTTAACCAAGGGACTGTTAGACTACATGCAACCGTCTTCTACAGTGGAGTCACTCGCTGTCAGGCAGCTAAATGTTTTACAACTACGGTACTTGGAAACAAATATGGAAAATGAGCTAAAAGTTTCCTCGGGATAACAATGGATATCACGTCACTGGATATAACGTTACTGGGACTAAAAATATACCGAAGCGCTACCACTTAATGTAACGTTACAGTATTGTGGTGAGGCCAGCAGGTCGACAGTGACTTCAGAGATGGTGAGAGACGTGTTTAATCAATTGTTCATATACCTTTGTCTGACTTGACTATCTTTTATTGTTCAGGGCTAAAATGTTTTAGTGAAAGGGAACTTCAGTTTGTGAAGGAATACTGCATGCTGCACGCCGTTTTAAAACCTGGCCAAAAATAATAGAGTAACGCACAGTTTGGTAATGGTAACTGAGTTACTGAATTTAAAAACTAACGCGTTAGAGTATTAGTTACTGCCAAAACTAACAGCGTTACTGTAACGCGTTACTTTAACGCGTTACTAATAACGTGTTACTGCCCAACACTGTGTATCGCACAACTGGACCTGAAGCTACTCCACAGATTCAAATTTTACATTCAAAGTTATGACATAAACTAAACAAACCTATGGATGAGTCTCATAATCAGAGCTGAAGCAATTAGTCAGTGAATGACTCACTGTTACCAGCCTCCCAAATGTAAAGATTTGCTGATATATACAGACATACAGACATTTTAAGACATGACATTGTGAGAAGGAGTGAATGTGTTGGATGGTGGTTGGATAGGTCAAATCACTGTGGAGAGTCCGGTCAGAACTCTGGGTTTGTCTTTACAGATAGCAGTTCCAATAATCAGGCCTTATTGCAGTTAAGAGTTCCTTTATTTTACTTTAATTGGGATGATGGGACTTGCGGTCGTAAGAATACATTTACCGAAAAATATACAGTGTACTTGTAACTCAGGACATCTGCAATATCCCAATAATAAACCTAGTAAGTACATCTATGACTCTTGGTGTCAGGTGAGGTTATCTAACTGCACAGTTCTAACTTTGGGTTCTTAAACCTTGTAAGGCACATTGTCCTTAATTGTTTTGACATTACGAAGACTCAACAATAATCATAATATAACGGATTCTTCCTCTGTTTCAACAAAAAATTGTGGCTGAAATAAATAATTGTACCTGATAAATTGGCAAGTGTTATTTGACACAGTTAAATGTTAGACTATTGTATGATTAATCAAGAAAATAATGGGCAGATTTATTGACAATGAATATAATATAGTTTCAGCCCCACACAAGACATTAACAGTCATTACCTTGGACGGTATGAAATGTACTGGTCTTGTATTTCATGTTAAGAAAGGTGTTTCCTGGCTTTACAGCGTCCTACCCTAAATAGAATCTAATTTGTCAACTCGTGTCTAAACGTTGAGCATCTGCTTGCATGCTGTCATCATTCAGTTTTCATACAGTGTGGGAGGGCAGATGCGGAACTAAGTGTGATTTATAACATAAACAGGATGTGAGGGTAATTGTTCCGTGGTCACAGCTAAGAGCTTCTTTGGCGGCGTGTTGGTGATGCTTGGTTTGTGAAACCATCGCAGGATACTTAAGCTTTTTGTATCGCTGTCATGGGTGACATATGTGTGGTGTGGAATAAGCGCAGTGAGTATGAAATTGGAGAGTTGAAGTAAAAGAGAAAGAAAGCCTTCGCCAGTCACAGGACAAAGCTACTACTTCCTTAAAGTTAACGCCATGGCATGATTTTACTTTCCTTGCATCACTAAAGAAGTGCTTCCTACAGATTGTATATGTAATACTTATCAGAATAAAACTGCTAAAACGTGTTAAAAATAGAGTGATGGGGGTAATGGTGTGCATCTCCTTCTGGGTTCGTTTGATATACACAGTGGGATATAATGCACCTTGCTCAAAAACCCACCCAATGCACTGGGTGGATGTTTGAGCAAGGAAGATACATTTTCACTGAAATCCTGCTGACTGAATATGTTTCACCTCAGAGTTCTGTGTTAGCCATTTAAGGTTGATATTTTCAACACAATTGTGCAGGCGCATATTCCTCTAAACAAAACCACACTGACACTTCCTGCAGGGTTATAGGCTCAGTGGAAGGCGGAAACCTTGAACGTCCAAACCACTAATTCCATAAAATGAAAAAAAAACCCCAACAAACTGTGTTTTTAAAATAAGTGAACACTTTGCCGTCAAAGTTAATATTGTGTCTTAATACATGTTTAGATGTGTCATTATATTATTATTTTACCAAAATCAAGCTCAAATTATGAGTTACAAGGTTTTTGATAAGCAAATGAGATAGATGAATAATAATGCCTAGATGCTGGAGGCCAAGATGGTGCCTGTCCAGTTTAATGGAATTCCTTGCCTGGTGCATATGTCTAAAAAGTTTCCGGTTTTTGGCTTTACTTTCACGACATGCAACTTACCCGTCCATGAGTTCCAGCTCGGCTCATAGACTTTACATTGTGATGATGTCACAGATTGTTTTTCTCAGCTCCGGTTAAGTTTTATGAATATAAAACCTCCATCGCTCAAAAATTCATAATAGAAAGAGTTATCAATTAATTCAATCAGTTTTATTTAAAAAAAAGCCCAATATCACAAATCACAATTTACCTCACAGGGCTTTACAGCATACAACATCCATCTGTCCTTAGGACCCTCGCAGCGGATAAGGAAAAACTCCCCTCAAAAAACCCTTTAACGGGAAAAAAAATGGTAGAAATAATTGACCTTTGAAGTTTGAATTGTCCTATCAACAGTCTTACAGATGTATTTTACAGTGGTGGTGTATAGAGAAGATGCTTTTTGGGCTGTAGGGTATTTTTTTTGTTGTTGCAGTGGCCACTGGGGAAAATTGGAAGCGAGGTTGAGCTCCTTTCCTGGGGGCCTGGATGAGATGCATGTATTGTCCGTCACTGATTAGAACAACCACATTTGGGGCAGGAATTGCATGGCATTACTTTATCATCAACCCCAGGCAGGCAGAAACTGCAGTGATGGACCAGCAGCGTGGCTGTTACAACATATTAAGGCATTAAGAACTGTGCTGAAGTTGATAGTTTCTGCATTGGTACAATTCTAAAAACTTTTGGGCAAAACAAACAAATAACAACACCAGTAAACAAGCACCATTTAGTTGCCACCCAAAGGAACACTATGGGTCAGATCTGTGGTTGTAAATCAATGCCCAGCAGTTGGCTGAAGGCAGGGCTATGGTGGTAACTGAAGAAGCTGTTGTACAAAGAAATAAAGATAGCATTGATCATGTAATAGTGTATTACTTTTGCTCTGAGGCTGTTTCTCTGTCAGAATTACATTTGCTGAGAAAAGTGCTGCTATCATGTTCTAAATGTGAGTCTCTTTTCTGTGTAGCTTTAATGGAGAACGGAAGGAGACACTTAAAACACATCTTTATCTGCGTCCTGGGAGCAGTTACAATCTTCTTCATCTATCTCAACTATGACTGGGAGTTGGTAAGCAGGGATTTTCCAGCAGCAGCGTCATCATCATTATCAACGTCATCATCACCATCATCACCATCATCACCATCATCATCAACATCATCAACATCATTATCAGCGGCAGCAGAGCCACGATGGGAGGATCCTGGGCCGTATCATGTGGCCTATCCACGAAACTACAAATTCATCATGGATGACACGCTAACGTGTAAGAACACAACTCCTTTCTTGGTCCTGATGGTTCCAGTTGCACCCAGTGACATAGCAGCTAGGGACACCATTCGGAAGACATGGGGGAATGAGAAACTGGTCCTGGGTCAGCTGGTCGAGACCCTCTTCATCCTGGGCCTGCCTGGGGGAGCTGATGCTGAGCAGCAGGAGAAGCTCAGACAGGAGAACCTGCAGCATCATGACCTGATCCAGAGTAACTTCCAGGACAGCTACCGCAATCTGACCATCAAGACTATGATGATGCTGGAGTGGCTGGCTGCGCACTGTGTCAATGCTTCCTATGTCATGAAGATTGACTCTGATATGTTACTGCATGTCCCGAATTTGGTTAAACTGTTGCTGAGTCCCAGCACAGCCAAAGAAAACTACATGACAGGTTTGGTGTGGTGGCACAGCCCGGTTTTAAGAAATCCGTTCAACAAGTTCTACATGCCCAGAGGAGTGATTGCTGAGTCGGAGTACCCCCCATATCCTCTGGGCATGGCCTACGTCATGTCCCTGGACCTGCCTGCCAAGATCCTGTCAGTCTCTCCTCAGATTAAACCTATCTACATTGAAGATGCCTACCTGGGTATGTGTCTGAAACGCCTGGGCATTTCCCCCACCGACCCTCCTGAAAATACAATGTTCATTGTCGACCCCAGGCATCCTCTGAGCAGCTGCAGCCTTTCAAAAGTGATTGCTGTGACAACGACAAGCATCCCACAGATGATGAGTTACTGGGAGAGGAGCAGACAGCCAGAAGCTAAATGCTGAACTTTATTAAGTTTACCAAGACTGAATTTAGATTTTTTTTTTTTTTTTTTACTAAACCTGACAAATATTTAACATTAATTAAAATGAAGCATATGTATTTTCTTTGCAAAGATCATGGAATACATTGCCCCTTGGTTTGACTTTTTTTTGTATGAAGGACAAAACAGATGTAAGAGTTTGAACCCAAAACTTTGTTTTTATCAAATGTCCTTTTCAGTCAGATGAGCCTCAGAGACTTTCTGAGCTGCATCAGCTCTCATACACAGATAAGAACATCTGCTGGATCCTAAATTATAAATAGTAAACATAAAGACTGATTCCATACATCATCACATTGTCAATTTTTAAGTTCAACATTTTTTACGTTATTTTGCCAGCCAGTTTGAAATAAGTGTTAAACTCACAACCATTGAGTAAGGTAGCTTTCTTTCAGCAGGTTGAACTCAGACTGCGTAAAATAATGGAGGTAGTCAACAGGACTAGATACTAGTGTACTTCTGTTTTGAAGCCTCGACTTTGGCATTTTGGCCGTCCCCATCTTGGTTCTTTGGAGCCGTAAGTGATCTTATTTGGAGGAGAGGGTGAAGCTAATCCTAACAGAGCTACTAACTTGGTTAATACGGTGCATTAGCAGCTGCGGTTAACTGTGATAATGCAAATTTTCTGTGAAAATCAGGCTTAAAAGCATTAAAACAAAATGTATGTACTGGAAAATCTGAATATCGGACCCCTTAAAGGGTCTTTTAGCACAACCAAATGCTGAGCAAGACTTTTTTAGGCTATCAGAATGTTATAATAAACTTTCATGAACTGAAAACGCAGTGGAATAGTGAAAGCTATGGCTACATCTATACTCTTTGAAGTGGCCTGCCCACAGCAGAAATAAACGTAACATAAATATAAATGTTTACAGCCTGATACAAAAAACAGTTTCGGTCTTGATAGCTTGTGTCAACATCCATGACTACGGTGGCTTAGTTCAATCAATCAATCAATCAATCAATCAATCAATCAAACTTTATTTGTATAGCACTTTTCATACATTAAAAATGCAGCACAAAGTGCTTCACAGAATAAAAACATACAACAAAAATATTACATACATAATGTTCTCACTTTTGGAACAATTAAAAGGCCGGTGCCGGAGGACCTCAGGATCCGCGAGGGTTGATATGATAAAAGCAGGTCAGATAAATAAGATGGCCCAAGACCGTTAAGACATTTAAAAACTAATAAAAAGAACCTTAAAATCGATCCTGAAACACACGGGGAGCCAATGCAGCGATTTTAAAACTGGTGTAATGTGAGCCCGCCCTCTGGGCGTGTGTGTCATCTGCATAACTGTGGAAGCTGATGCCGTGCCTCCTGAAGACGTCCCCAAGGGGAAGCATATATAGATTAAAAAGAAGTGGACCTAAAATTGACCCTTGGGGCACCCCACACCTGATTTCATGCGTTCTGGAGGAACATGTATCCATAATTACAAAGAAACAACGATCTGTGAGATAAGAGCTGAACCAGTTAAAAACAGTACCAGAGAGGCCCACCAGGTTTCTGAGTCTGTTTAATAAAATGTGGTGATCTACTGTATAAAAGGCAGCGCTTAGATCCAGTAGTACCAAGGCTGTGAGTTTTTGTGAATCAACATTAAACCTGATATCATTTAAAATCTTTAAAAGGGCTATCTCTGTACTGTGGTTCATCCTAAAACCAGACTGATATTTCTCTAAAATATTGTTTCCTTTTAAAAAATAATTTACTTGGTTAAAAACCAGTTTTTCTAAAATCTTACTTAAAAACAGTAAGTTGGATACAGGTCGGTAATTATTAAAAGTGTTGGGATCTAAATTACTCTTCTTCAGAAGGGGCTTCACCACTGCCGTTTTGAAGGCAGTGGGGAAGACACCCGTCTGAACAGAGTAATTTACTATATTTAAAATCTGTTCCTCAAAGAATCCGTAAAATGTTTTTAAAAGTGATGTGGGAATCGGATCTAAAAGGCAGGTTGTTGGGTTTACCTGGGAGAAAACTCGACCAAGTGTCCTTGCATCAACCAGGGCAAAACTCTCCAGTGTTTCCGCAGGTAAAAGCAATGATCCAGGTGTGTTAAAAATTACATTCTGTTGGTATAAAAGACTGGATCTGATGTCATTGATTTTACTTCTGAAGTGGTCTGCAAAGTCCTCACAGAGGGCATCTATTGAAATCTTGGCTGTATTTTTAAAATTGGTGCTAGTAGTTACACACATTTAAGGGCGAGGCTGCTTGAACAACAGGCTTACTGTGAGGCATAACTAGTCTGTGACGTCAGATGCCGAATACAGCCGATGGGTTCTGTGAATGGGTTACAGACTGTTCACAGACCCAGGGCCAAGTTCACCATGTGGTGTTTGGGGTAATTTGATATATAGCAAATTGTCAGTGCTGTACACACCACAGACAGCACAATATAAACAGAAATTACAGGAACATTTAAGGTGACACCTGCATTATTACATCATTTTGAGGCCCCATCTTGTAAAGGAGCCATGATTTTAAATTAACTGTGTTATCTATATGGCACATGCAAGTTACTACAAGCCAGTTACTAACACCTAACGATTTCTGCCCTGGTGCCCCCTAGAGGGTTAATAGTATTTTCATCTATAAGGTCCTCCTCTCTAAGTTGTAGAGCTCATCATTCTTAGTGGAGTTCAAAGTGAACAACAATGACACCACAGATCGCATTCATTCATTTTCCACAACCACATCTGTGCGGGGTTCCGGAGCATATCCCAGCTGACATTGGGCGAGAGGCAGGGTACACACTGGACAGGTCGCCAGACTATCACAGGGCTGACACATAGAGACAGACAAGCATTCATGCTCACATTCACACCTACGGACAATTTAGAGTTATGTCTTTGGACTGTGGGAGGAAGCCAGAGTACACAGAGAAAACCCACGCTGACATGAGGAGAAAATGCAAACTCTGCACAGAAGTGCTCCCCCTGGGTTCGAACCAGGAACCCTCTTACTGTGAGGTGCCAATGCTCACCACTGCACCACCGTGCCACCTACCACAGGCTAACTTAAAAAGTTCCTCATACCAGCACTGAACTGGTAAAGACCTCACCAGTGAGATACACTGCAAAATGCTCTGATCAGAGACACTCATTCCTCTGAGGGGCCTTAACGTTGTGCTTGTTAGCACTGTTAATGATAATTGTGGCTGTTTAGTGTGTGTGTGTGTGTGTGTGTGTGTGTAGGTGATGATTACTTTGACTGAACTGTCTTGCTGTGATGTATATATATATATATATATGTTCTGTTCACACATTTCTCTTGTAAGTGACCTTAATCTCAAAAAGACTACCAAAGTAAAGCTCAGCTGCTGAATGTTAAAGAACAATACTTTTATGTTCAGACTTTTGTAAAAAATAAAGGGAGTGTGTCTCAGTGGCCATGAAAGTCTCAAGTAAATGCTAATGCTGTGATGTAGTGCTCCTATAGTGATGTTTCTATCTGGAAAATGATTTTTAGGTTTCAACAAGGAGACAGGATTTGTACTAAAGTTGTTCAGTAAACAAGTTTCATGTAAGCCAATTTTGATATGCCAAATTCTGTACTCTTGGGACAGAATACAACAAAATATACTGTCACATACTGTCATACTGTTATACTACAGACATGTTACCACTCATGTCATTGCAGAGTTTAAGTTGTAATATGATCTGTTATGTGTCATGTATAGGAAATGTAATGTTACAGTATGAAGGAGTTGTCCAAGATTGTAAAAAGGTGATTTTAATCTGTAAAATCAAACTTGTTTCGTACTTCAGGAGATCATTCCTCCTGTATCCACATTACTCAGCTGCTCTCAGGGAAAGTTCTCATCTTTGTGAAGGAGTTTCCTTCTAAAAGTATATATCCATCATTTCAACAATGTTAAATGTTCAAGATTTTGATCTTCTGTGAATACTGTGACGATTCATAGTGGCACAAAACACATTCACTGTACTCTATCTGCTTCATGAATGAGATTGTTTACGTTTTCACTCTTCAGAAAAAGCTCCTCTCAGGACTATTCCTTCATGGGAGCAAGAACTGTATCGCCAATCTGTCTTGCACTTTCAAAAAAAATCCAACACTATCTTCTAACATATACAGTACAGGCCAAAAGTTTGGACACACCATCTCATTCAATGCGTTTTCTTTATTTTCATGACTATTTACATTGTAGATTCTCACTGAAGGCATCAAAACTATGAATGAACACATGTGGAGTTATGTACTTAACAAAAAAAGGTGAAATAACTGAAAACATGTTTTATATTCTAGTTTCTTCAAAATAGCCACCCTTTGCTCTGATTACTGCTTTGCACACTCTTGGCATTCTCTCCATGAGCTTCAAGAGGTAGTCACCTGAAATGGTTTCCACTTCACAGGTGTGCCTTATCAGGGTTAATTAGTGGAATTTCTTGCTTTATCAATGGGGTTGGGACCATCAGTTGTGTTGTGCAGAAGTCAGGTTAATACACAGCCGACAGCCCTATTGGACAACTGTTAAAATTCATATTATGGCAAGAACCAATCAGCTAACTAAAGAAAAACGAGTGGCCATCATTACTTTAAGAAATGAAGGTCAGTCAGTCCGGAAAATTGCAAAAACTTTAAATGTGTCCCCAAGTGGAGTCGCAAAAACCATCAAGCGCTACAACGAAACTGGCACACATGAGGACCGACCCAGGAAAGGAAGACCAAGAGTCACCTCTGCTTCTGAGGATAAGTTCATCCGAGTCACCAGCCTCAGAAATCGCAAGTTAACAGCAGCTCAGATCAGAGACCAGATGAATGCCACACAGAGTTCTAGCAGCAGACCCATCTCTAGAACAACTGTTAAGAGGAGACTGCGCCAATCAGGCCTTCATGGTCAAATAGCTGCTAGGAAACCACTGCTAAGGAGAGGCAACAAGCAGAAGAGATTTGTTTGGGCCAAGAAACACAAGGAATGGACATTAGACCAGTGGAAATCTGTGCTTTGGTCTGATGAGTCCAAATTTG